GAACTGATGACAGCCGTCGCTTTGGCGCAAATGGGCCGGAAAAAAAAAAGCACAAGGGTCAAGAATACTTGGAAAAGGAGAGGGCCAGGTTGGCACATTAACGCCGAGGACTGCCCGTGGCCTTGCCAAGCCCAGCAACATTGTCTAGCGGCAAAAGCGAGCACTGCTGACACAGCGTGGCAGCGTCATCCAGCTGCAGCTCTTCCAACGCAGCCACCAGCTGCTGACGAGCCTCGTCATCCTGCAAAAACTTCTCCATGACACGTGCCAAGGCAAAGCCATCGTGCTCCTTCTGCATTGGCAAATCCCCCCGGGCATATGGGTGACGATACGACTCCAGCGGCTTTCCTTCCCTGGCAAAATTGGAGGCATAGACGGGGTTGTGGGCAGGATTAGCAGCGAGAAACCGGCCGAGATCAAAGTCGATGAGAAAGGCCGCAGGATGCCCTTCCCAGTCGCTGCAAAAAAGAATGTTGCGAGGAAGAATGTCGCCGTGCACAAAGTCAACGCTATGGATGGCCTTCAGTTGGTAGATGACCTGGACCAGTTGCTCAATCTCGACGGTGTCTGCCGGCTTCACGTAAGGGTAGCTGAGCACATCCACGGCAGTTGCAAGCCTCACCACCTCCCACTTCTGATAGAACGAGCCCGTCACATCCAGTTGACTGAGTTTTGTCAAGATTCGGTCGTCAGGCGGGTAGCGGCGATCTTGGTAAGGCACACACTGTGCCGAGAGGCTGCTGCAGAGATTTGCCGTGCGTCCCCAGTAGTCAAAGTGCTTGAACACCTTGCCTTGCTCCTTGTTTTGCTTCCCGATGCTGTAGACCTGCACGTTGGGACCATACGAATCCTTCAGATTCCACTTGTCGAGGTCTTCAAAAGGGCAAGGAAATGGTTGTGGAGGCAGCCGTGGCCGCGATAGAGTCTGAGCACCTGCCCTATCCAGCAAGCGCGCCAAATCCCCTTGCACAAATTCCTTGCAAGCTCGCAAGATGCTTTCTACCTGCCGCGAATCTTCTTTAAAATTTGCGGCACCGAGGCGCAAAAAGAACAGCCCCGATGTCCTCGGCTTCGCGTTCGAACTGTCAATCTCGAGCAATGGCAGAATCTCTGCCAGGCAACCCTCAAACTGCTCCCATCGAACATCAATCACTTGCAAAGCCAGGTAGGCGCTGACATTGTCTCCCACCACGTTGATGTTGATGATGGGCC